TTAACCTTTGTCATCCTGAAGGTGAAAGGTCAGTACTATCTAATCGTTGAAGCCTGTGATGGTGCAGTGGACCCCCGGCGGTCCAGAATAACACTGTCAGTCACTGTCCTGGATGTAGATGACAACAGCCCGATATTCACCCAACAAACTTACAATGTCAACATACCAGAGAATACCCCCAAAGATACCATTATATTGCAGTTAAAGGTAAGTGGATGCATGGATTGGTGTGTTTGCAACTGATGCAATAGTTCATTTAAAGGCTTTATTTTAAGCTGTTATGGTAAAAGCTTTATGGGGAATAAAACCTGATTAACAATTTCATAAACTGTGCAGTTCCAGTAACTAAATATGCTAATTGTGCTGTATTGCTTGAGTTGCTTTTGCAACAATATAGCCCCTTTTCCATTTCATGGTAGTGGCTCAACTTGATTCTGCTCGTGTTGTTTTTCCATCAGTCAAATGTTGGGGATAGTACCGGTGCTATTTTTTTGATATCACGTCTGCTGAGGTGGTGTGATGTAATTGTATGGGTTCTAAATATTTATTAAATAAGTTATTACATCAAGGTTTTTGCAACATTTTTTATTCATTTCACTGCTTCAGTTTCCCACACTGCACTAAACTGTTGTACACAAGTCTCCTGTTTTAGCTATAAGACCAATGTTTTACTTTGTTCATCATCCGTAATATGATTTCAGAATTCCACACAGCCAGAGAGATGTGTTCTGCTCATACTGTAGCTCAGTTATACAATCCTACCCCACTGTGGAGGGTCTGTCCTGCCGGGCTGTCAGCCAAATACTTAGCCACGCTGGACGCCAGTAGAGGAGGTCGTACACGCGTCTGGTTCCAAAGTGGTCTTGCTGGCTTCACTGACAGTCAGAGCTGAGAACACATAAGTTGCCCTGCCTCGCCCTGTCTGGCATAGTTTTGTGATTTGATCATTTTGAGGCAAGATTCAGTTTGTAAAGTTCACAGCTTGCCACACTTTTGCGCTTACATTTCTCTGTGTACAGTGATAAAAGAAGTACAGTAAGTTGACTGACAGAATGTGAGTTGATTCGGGGTCTAATCCACTGCTGCGTCGAACCATAGACTTGGAGTACTAAAAGTGGCTATGATAATGTTACAACCTTAAAGGATGATGCTCAGACTTTCAGTTTGAATCAATTTACCTGCAGCGCCAAACGCTGACCTTGAATTGAGTTCACTTCAAAAGCATTTGAAGTCATAATGTGAGTCCAGTCAGTGAAGCTCATCTTCTTTATCTACATCTTCTTTATAAAATTACCAAATTAGTTTAATTTTACATTCCAGTCGGCACTAGAGGCGTCAGAATTATAATTTGACAATACTTGCACCCTTTGAGTTGAAGAGGAATATAAAATAGCTACACAGTAGAAAAAAAACCTACTAAAGGAAAAAGAAGATACAGATCACTAGCTGGACTATAAAGGTTGCCACCGCAGGCATTTCTGACATGTTGGCTCAAAACCGACCTAAGGAAAATACTTCAGTCTTACTGTTTTAGCTCTAGAACATGTAGATGCTTGTCCTTCTGGCAAATATGAAAAATTCAGCTTGCCATAAAATTCACAAGGCATTTCACTACTTTCTTTTCCATTGTCTACAGGCGATAGATCCTGACCTCAACTCCAGCCTCACATATCGAATCAGAACTGAAGGCTCAGACCAGAAGATCATTCAGTTATTCCACATCAACCCTGTAACAGGGGAGCTGTCGGTGCTCAAGGTTCTCAACTACGAGGCTCTAACTGACTCAGTACCCACATATACTTTCACTGTAGAGGCCTTTGATGCAAACGGAGCCATGCCTCCTGGACTGGCCTCTGTAACTGTCAAAATAATGGTGAGTGTGTGGGTGCATGTTTATGAGGACAGAAAAGTTTGCTCAATGTGTCACTTTTCTTAGTGTCTTTTCGGTGTAATACAGAGTAATGTGGCTTTTTTGGCACAGAAGGAAAAGTAGGACTGAACAGCTGCTGTTCAGATTTTGCCAAGGTTAGGAGGTTTAGTCTTTAAGAACTGTGGCAAAAACTGTGGAGCAAAATACTCTGGGATTCCTCTTCTATATATCCCTTGCCTTCAAGATGACAGATAGAAATGCACAAGAAACAGAATGATCTTTGACTCTGGTATGGTGACTCTGTGTGCTTGTGTAAGTCAGCCAGAAAGAAAAATATGTGAATTTAAATAAAATAGACAAGAACAGTCTATTAATAAATATATATACAATGTGAAAGAAGTGCTTTTAGATATGTACAATAGTTATATTTACAAATTGTTGCACTGGGGGTGTTTGGTGTAGCCTGTTATACAGACAAACATGGATCAACTGTTCATGAGAGTGATGGCACAAGGAAAGAGAATGTTCTTGTCTGGTTGTTTTGGCGTACGGCGTCCTGTAGTGGCATCAAGGAAGGAGAAGTTCAAACTGTTTGTTTCCAGGGTCATGGTTTGCCACCAAGCTAGCTACTCGCTAGTTTGCATGCGTTGAGACTGCTGCAAGTGGAAAGTGCCAGAGCTGATGTCCAACAATTTGATCACTTTGAGTGGGTCTTCATATATGAAGTAGTGTCAGAGTTCAGTTCAGGTTGCACAGTTTACTAGCACAACAAACTGAAGTAGTTTGTCTTGTAGTCTATTAGTAAACTAAGCTAATAAATAAAACTGGATGAGGATGCTAGTGAGCCAATCCTCGCTAATAGGAAACTGAGGACAGTGAGACAATCTGACAAATATTTTGTGGAAGTATTTTGGGTTTTACATTGGACATGACAAGATTGCCTGGGAAGATAAAGCTGTTCCCCAACTTACTCTACACTGACATCAAGCCTGAGGACCTGCTAACCTGCCACTTAAGTCACAGCAGAAGCACCAGAAGCAAGTGGAGTAACACCTTATAAAACCTTGTCTGTCTAATCAAGAGTTACAGCATCATAAATTTGTGGACTTCAGACAGAAAATGAAACATAAGTTGAAAGCAAAAAGTGACATAACTTACAAAGTCAATTTGTACATCATTAGTATTAATGTGTACAATTTCAGGCCCTTCTTCAGAAACAAAAAGCAGTTTGGTGTAATGTGGTTTACAATGCCAAGCCTTACTGAATGTGTTTTTCTCTCCAGGACATGAATGACTTTTCCCCAGAATTCAGCCAGTCAGTGTTTCGAGGAATGGTGGCTCCTAATGCTGTCAAGGGAACCATCGTAACCACAGTGTTGGCCTATGACTCTGACCCTGCGGTGAGCATTTCCAGCTGCTGCTATTCAATCAAACTGCTTTTCGCAGGCTCTCAAATTGTGCATAGGAATGATTCAAGATAATGATGCCGGCCTCTTGTGTGTTTAGTGTTTTGAATGTATTTGCACTTCTTTCTCCACTGGAGCCTTTTTTTTTATCCCATCGTTGCACATTGTGATTCCTTATTTGGGCTTTTTTTTCTCAAAAGCATTTTTGTGGAACAGGCCTGTTAATTCTGCTTGCTACAAAAAAAGGTTAGCTCTTTTTAATGTGTGTTATTCTGAGCCATTAGATAGTCTGATGTACTTAACCCCCTGGGTGTAAAAGGCTGTGAAATGCTCAGACTGAGGTCTAAGTGCAGTGTGAAAATAGATTTGCTGAGTCACACAGCATTTTGTTTAGAGACAGTTCTGAAATGCACTGGCTATGAGAAATATAGCACTTATTTTTAATGGCAATACAAAACAACCAATTGGTAATTTTACTGTATAGGAAATCACCAAATCAATATTTATGAAAAATACCAGAAACACAAATGTATTTTCACTTTGCATTACCACTCAAGAGCCAATAAGCCAAGATCTTATTTTTGAATTGTCTTCCTCCAGGTGAGGTCTTCCATGTTCTTTTCATTAATGTGCTTGCTGTCTTCTTATACCAGCTGAACTGATTCAGACCTGAAGTTTAAGCATCAAGCTAGACTCTCAAGTCTAAAAGCAACATAATACTCTACAGGATGCATGCTATAAAAGCACCACCTGTGCTCAAAGACAGTACTAAATAGCACCTCTACAGCCCTGGATCTACAGCACATGTATTTAGATGTACAGTACTGTGCAAAAGTCTTAGGCCACCATTAGTTCTGCTGTTTAAGCAGGCTGTAATGATAATTTGTATTAAGGTATAACCAGAAAAAACAGGAAATCTGTACACAATAACAAAAAAAGGACACAGTGTTCAGAACAAAATGGCTTCTACAGTCCAAAGTCAGTATTTAGTGTGACCTCCCTTTGCACTTAGCACAGCTTGAAGTCTTTTGGGGAGACTGTCTTAAAACCATGACAGACCCTCCACTATGTTTCACTGAAGGCTGCAGGAACTCATTCTTCCACCTCTCTCCAACCCAAACATTTCAGACTTCGACTCATTGCTCCATAACTCTCTTTTTCACTGATCTTCACTCCAGTGTTTGTGAGCTTTTGCATATCTCAGCCTTTGTCAGCTTTTGACAGTTTTCTTGGTCCATTCCTGTTTTGGCCTTGACCTCTCTGGAGTCTTCATATTTCTTTAGAATATCTTGATACCACATCTGGAGCATCCAGTTCATCTGCTGACTTTTTTTTTTTTTTGGACATTTGCTTTTAGTGCTGTGTAGATATTTCCTATACTGTGTACTGTATACTACTTTTCAAGTTGTGTTCTGAGAAATAAATACTATAGGCTTCATAACATTGCTAAAAAAAAACAAACAAATCTAATGGTGACCTAAGACTTTTGCACAGTACTGTACATGTGTTGCTTTACCATTTAGAACCAAAGTTGATCACTGAAGTACAAATCCTTAATCGTTTGCGACAGTGAAGTTTTGCTGACACTATAAGGTGTTATCAAATGAAAGTTTGCATTGCAGCAGAGAGCTCTGAAGTACTGCTCACAACTGCAGTGCTTTTTACAAAATCTTATTTCAGAAGTGACAGTTAATGAGAAACTTATTGACTGTTGTAACACTTGCCAAATGTTTAGACAAGGAATTATTAATCTCTAATTAAGGGCCAACAAGCTGGGATAGGTTCGGCTACTGGAGCAATGTATGGTGTTCAAATGGAAAGGTGGGTTACACTGTCGTTTATTAATGACAGTTTTTAAGCTTATATTGACAGCAAAGGCTTTTTTCAGACTTGTAATATGATACGGACACAGTGACACAGCAGTGAATCTTTTAGTGGTGTTGCGGTAAAAGAAGAGTCCTTCAGTGGAAATGTGAGCTTAGAGACCTTTCTGTTTACCTTGGACATGTTTTCTGGTTACTGACAAAGAGGCTTTGGTCCACCTGTTTTGCAATCAGGCCTTGGTCCTGTAACAGCAGTCTACTGTGTGTGCTGTAGCCACTGAATAACATACCAGGTCTATGGTTTTAATTAGGACGATGACTATGGCCCTGATGACAGCTGATCACCTGAGAGGAAAAAAGTAACATAAAAATAGCAGTGCAGTTTTAACGGCAGTAAGTGACCACCACAGGTTGTCCCTCAGATGATCACAAATTCTGTCAAAACAATATTCAGTTCCAGTACCCTGCAAACCCAAATGCAATGTCGCAATGCCAGGACGTGACCCGTCCTTTCATGTACATACAGTAAGTTCTCCTAACAAAAGGCAGATAAGCATTCTCATAGAAACTATCTATGGGTAACTGATTCTGTTTCTTCTTCCTTTAGTTACAAAGTTATTCTGTAATGATTGCCATGGGTGTACGGCACCACAGTCTCCTGTTTAGATGCTAAATACTGCCTGGTAACAATCTGAACGTGCACAGTGGTTGAGATTTATAATAATTCCTTACTTGAAAAAAGTGAGGTTTGGCACAAAAATATGCCAGATTTCCTACCTCTTCATCACAAATTAAGTATTCATCTTGCAACAGCTTTTGACTTGAACTTGTCTTAATCTGCAAACTGCTCCTCAGAGGAAGTTTGAAATGAGCATGATAATTTGTAGGTATTTGCAAAATGTTAAAATTACTTTAAGCAGGTGTTGGTGAACCTTTCCCCCTGTGAACCAAATAGAATTCATTTCTTTCCTCACCGTTGGAAAATATGCTCATTAATACTGTACATAGAGGAAATGTTCACAGAAGCGCTGCCTCCCTGCCAGTTACTGTTAAAGAAATGTAATCATATGCATTTCCTGACATTTTGACTGAAATTAGTCATTCAGTACTAACTGATGGTCGCTCATTATCAGCAATACTTAGAAGAGGTTAATTCATGATCATTAGACCCTCTAACCTTAGACCTCAGTTGATGTGTCTCTGGACTGCTTCAGACGCTATTTGACATTTAGATCCAAACTAATTGCTTTGGATATTAGATACTGTGCCAGTCATTACCACATTTAAGCTGCTCTGCAAACAAATCACAAGTGGCAGCTTTCTAGAAATCGTTTAAGAGAAACTTCATACAATGCAGCATTTCATAAAATGGTCATCCTCATGTTGTTTTTCTTCATAGGGTACCCCAGCAGGTCGAGTGCGCTATAAAGTGGACCAGGATGCATATCCATACTCTGCCAGCATATTTGATGTAGAAGAACAGACAGGACATGTGGTTACGAGGGTAAATCTCAATGAGCAGCCCAACCTGAAGTTCAGTGTAAGTATATACACACAGTTTAACTTCCAGTCACCAGTACGTTTATCGTTTATAGTTGATTTTTGTGACTTTTTTTTAACTTCCAGTCACCAGTACGTTTATCATTTATAGTTTATTTTTGTGACTTGTCTCTAGTCTTTGCAGTTGTAGTCACATTAGCAACACAGTTCTAGGGATGGTGATGTCATTCTATAAAATTTAAACTGAGATTGGGAAATCTGCCTTTGACTGAACTGTTGACAACTCCTAGAAATGCAGTTTGTAATAAAGATGCACCAAAAATGTTGGGAACCCCTGTTGTATGCATCATTCTCAAAGGTGCCTGTGACTGCTGCAATAGCGTGACACTGATCAGAGCTGGATACCCAAAATTTTAGCCTAAGCCCTGTTTCGTAAACTTGTTGCACCAGGTACGCAGTTAAAATGTATTTTTCTTTTGTGTTATATATGCTATAAAACAAACATCTATGATGGAGCAACACAGTTGTAATAAAGTCTTCTATTAGAAAGATATTAACTTCCATCAGGCAATGTGTTCAGTGTATTAACTGTGTCCACACAGCAGACGGTGTACAGTATATCACACTGTAAATGCAGTATGCAGCATCAATCCATCAAATTGTTTTATTCAAATAATAAACATTGGCACTGGGGTTGTAATTCAGTAGAGATATCATTAGTGGAGAATATTTATGTGATGTGCCTCTGTTCTGCTTTAGTTTTTGGATTCTAGTATTTAGTGGGTGGAGGTTTGGGCCGACATCACATGAACTGAGTCCTGACAGTCAGTCTCTCTCACATTTTACTCATGGCATTACTTGTAGCATTTGTTCACATGAAAGTGTCTTTGCACAGAGCAGTCTTATAAATCCCTTCCCAGTGTACAGAGTATACTGCAGTAGCGTATTAGTTTCAAACCTGCCTTTTCCCAGCTGCTCTCCTCAATGGGGTTTTGGGTCATGCTAATTTCATCTTTTGATTGGACTTTAATTAACACAAGGATTTTTTTGTCACTCGGGACTAATTCTACCTCGTCTGCTCCCAGTAACAGAACAAATCAGTCCAACACTGTGTACAGTTTTTGAATGTTTTTACAAAAACATACACACAGACTTTAAGCAAACGACTGCATAATTTTGTCCCATTATAAAAACAATACAGCTTTAGGTATTAAAAACATAAACATTTTTGGACCCGGTCAGCAAGAGCGCAAATTGCTGCTGGGGGAAAAAAAAAATCATTGTGATGTTCAGAGAAGTTTGGAAGGTTCCAGCAGTTGGCTGTGTGTGTTTACTGGCTTCCTGGTTAAAGTGTAAGTTACTGTATGAATACAGTGAAGGGCAATGTAGTATTAGTAACAGTTTCCTGGCTAAATAAGAGGGAGGAAACAAAACATTTCATTGTCTTGATATTTAACTGTGGCCCTCATTAGGAATCCTTGGGGTCTGGTTAAAAGTGGCTGCCCCCTCCCAATTAAGTGAAGAAGAAAGGAGTAAGCAGGAAAAATAAGCACACCAGTGGGATACTCACTCACTCAACTCACTAACTTTGTTGCAAATAATGTGCTTTTAAAATGTTGGCAACAAAAATTTAAATTTATTTAACTGTACTATCAGGCTGTCATGCATTAGTGTAACACTTGCCAAGTGTTTAGCCAAGGAATTATTGATCTATAATTAAGGCCAACAAGCTGGAATAGGTTCGGCTACTGGAGCAATGTTTGGTGTTCAAATGAATTTCACAAACCATATGTTTGAACACTTTCTTACTGTATTTGAACGTGTGTACACATACAAAACAATTTAGATAACTAAAATAATGAAAAATATGGAAAATGAATAAACCAAAATAACAAAAGCTTAACCGTGTTAAGTCTTTTTTCTCTTCACAGACCAATATCAAAACTAAGTAATCCCTCCTCCTTGTGAGGAACAAGTAAATCTTGAATAATGGTTTACTTAGGATACGTTCCCTTTTTATGTCTGCAATATCATAGGGTGCACCCAATCTAAATCTGGTATCCAATGTGGAGTGGAATCCAATTGGATAATTTTCAAATCCAAATCCCTTTCAAATCA